TCACACTGGCAGCTCAATTAGAATCATCATACTGGATAGCTTGCTCTACAATTATCTTCCAATGGATCACTCAGGATTCTTTATCTATTATTACTCGAGGTATGACTGCGATATATGGCAGATCGATTATATCCAAACAAATCGTTCTTTCGCATGTTCACCATCGCACAGTTCGAAGCATGGATATACGAACAATTTTCTACTGTCACTACAGTTCCCATAAAATGTCTGTACAGCGGTACATACCTAATCATGCCTCAACTGCCGTGCCTCGCACAGTCGAGAAAAAATATTTATTTATTCATTTATTTTCACCGGCGCTCAAAAATTGGCTTCGGTGCCTTACATGTCCGAAAAAACGTTCCGATTCTCCATTCACCTGGAGCTTTTCCGATGTTATTTCACAGACAGGTTTGCGCTCGTATACTTGGCTTTTCCAGTGACATTTCATTGGTTTTTACTCGACCATGGAGACAATTATTTGTACCTACATTTGAAGGTATTCCGATACCATTTTATGGTGAAAGAACCTCGTAACGATCCGCGTTGTACAAAGGAATGGCACTATCGCCTGTTATAAATGTATGCATTCAAAAGGAAGCACTGCATTCACCATCCCCATGACAAGTCCGGCGTGTATAGCTAGACAGGGTTTTTTAACCAAACAAGTATGTACCTGAAATAGCCAGCCTCTATTATTAATTTTTCCTCACCTGCACCATTTATCATACGGCTCTGCGACTCTATCGCATTATTGACCGGTTTCAATGACTACTGCCGGTACACTGCCAAGCCAATCGTTCAAGTCAGTTAGAATTTTGGATGTCAACCGACTGCGACTAGCGTTGGACTTTTTATGCCTACTAAACACCAGTAAAGTAGGCTGTGTATCCAACTATGCTAGCTTATGCTTATGCGACAAACGTGGTGCTGCCATACGCTATCTAAACACCCGTCGCGATTTGGACACAAACTTTTACACCATGAGATTGAATTGGGTTATTACGCTTGGTTGATACTCATTTCGTTCCGATCATTAGAATGGGCCGTGTTAGCGTTCGCTATCTGTTTTAAGCAGTAAAGGCTTTTTTCAATCTACATGCAGTGGATATCCGTGCCGGTTTCTTAGCCGTCGAGGACTCCTGCACACACTAAACGAAAACGCATGCGGCATCGCTGGTGTTGCACCGTGACGAGGTCATTATCCACAGCAGCAGCTTTCGTCCGTCGACATATGAAACAAATCTCCAATGGTATGAGAGGCCGTCCAATCCCAAGGCGTCTCCGCTTTCCTTCATTAGGTTTCGCTGGTGATGTTTCAACCAGTGTTCGTACTCGCATGTTGGTCGGTGGATCTACAACCACATTGATGTCGTGCGTACCCTTGTTCCTACGTATCAAGTTGCATTTGCGCCACCTTGTGAAAGCGATGCACGTGGTTGTTTCCGTGGGGAGATCCGGAGCACCTACTTATAAGCCCGAAGGATCCAGAGTCATTTGTACCTCCACGGACACAAGGAACAGGTTTGCGAACGGCTTTTTGGGCTTTTCGGATTTAGATGCAACACATCACCTGTTCGTCTATCTAGGCACTATGACTAGGTCATGTCGTTTGCTTAATTCTTTCACAAATCATCTTGCTGCTGACAATAGTATATGCAAAGTAGAACCACGGAAGTTGTACAGAACGAGGAGTGCATTGACATGTAGCCGCTTGGCACCAGGTAGTATAATGGCATCGGTTATCGGAACATGTTCAATGGACGGGTTCGTCGGACGGACATAGCAAGCAAACATCCCGTGCAGCTGCAAGTCCCAGCAGTTAGATCTTATTACACGCTCCGGCGGAAAATGAGCGGGATGGCAATTCTGCATAAATTTGGACCTCGACATTTACCACGCGGTTAGTGACTGTGCGTTTTCGACTTTTTGTTGCTTATTCTGACATATAACTACTATTTATTAAATAACTAAATAAACTTTTATTCTCGACCATGCGAGACACACCTTTACAGGCATGATCATGTTTTGCTAACAGTGTGCTCAATAATGTACAAAAGTACATGTTCGGCATAACAGTGTATGTAAGTATATGGGTGTATATACGTATGTAATTGTCTGGCGGAAACACTTTGACTGTCTCTTGAACAACCGTTCAGAGATCGACTGGCCTACATTGAATGGCCTGAAGCAGCACGATGTGAAGGCGGATCTGGCAGATACGCCGAGACTGGATGAGACACAGAGAGCACTTGCTCAGCTGCGAAACGGCAAATGTGCCGGAGGTGACGGGATCCCACCTGAAGTATTGAAACACGGTGGACCCGCGTTGTTGACTGCGCTGCACCACTTGGTGCAACGCGTGTGGATTGAGGAGGAGGTGCCTGCTGAGCTGAAGGATGCCCTTGTGCTACCACTGTACAAGGGCAAAGGTAGCAAGCAATGTTGCACGAATTATCGTGGCATCAACTTGCTGAGTTGTGTGGGCAAGGTGATTGCCCGAATTCTGCTCAATCGCCTCGTGAGTCCGGTTGTGGAACCTAACGTGGCGGAAGAGCAATGTGGATTCCGTTCGGGTCGCAGCACTATAGATATGGTGTTTG